CAAGTGTTTGATGAAAGCACTATGTCAGCTAAAAGGAAAACCTAAACACAATAATTTGCAAAAATAAAATATGAAAGAACTCATCCTAAAGCTATGAGTAAGATATTGACAAACAAGATAGAAAGTGTTTCACATTGCTTCGCACCAATTATTTCTTGTAACTAGCTTGAGAGACTTCTGCTCTGCCATTATAACTATTCAGCCTTGCCCATGTCAAGTAGATGGGGACCCAATCTCTCTCATCTTTGTATGAATCAGCCAAGCAAATAAGAATTTGGCAAAACAATGGCATTTTTTAGTTCTTTATTTTGTTGGCCAAGTCGATCATTTTAATGTAGGTTGATATGAATGATAAAACCCACAAAAACAAAACCTTTTTACCATGATCAAGAAGTAGAAAAGTCGAGACTCTACAGCAAGTGCAACTCGCAGATGTGAAGAATGAAAGTGATTATACACACCATTGGCTTTGGCATAACTTGAGCGAGGACGATCCCATAATTTGATGATCTCGGACAGTTTGATGCACTGAAGGAAGCATAGTTTGAGAAAAAAATTACTCTTCATAAACATAGATCCCATAATTTAAGAAAGTGATGAGGAACTTGTTTTCCTTCAAAAACTAGACAAGATTGGCGTTATAGTGCATGCAGGTCATCTTGAACCAACTCACCCTATGATGGGAGACCTTAGATGGCTCCTTAAGTTGTATTTGCTAAAAAGCCTACCATTTATCTTGAAAGCCTTCAACAATTTAACATGAGATGATGGACAAATATGTGAGAGAAAGGCGAGAAGCTTAAAGAGGAAAGCTCTATGAATCCTACAGAGAGACGAATGACAATGACCATGGTAGATGGCTTTGATATTTATAACACAACCTCAAACCATCGTTGATATATCTACTAAAGGGTAATTAACGAATTTTGTTTGCAAACAACACCATTAAATGCCAAAGAAAAATAATCATTACAACACACTATTCAAACGATTAAAACTCCTCGATACCTTATGAAACCGAGGAAGATGAATAAGGGGATAGACCCACCAGCTTAGTTCCAGGAGGATTCAACAATTAAAAGAAAGAAAAATTCATCGACTAGATTCAAAGTACAAAACCACCAAGGAAGGCAAGCTTGCCTACCAACAAAGAGGGTATTATCCACAAAGCTCAAGGACTCAATCAACACTAATGCCAAACTTGTAGAATTATCCAACTAAAGGCTATCCAACTCACACTCGAAGAAGCCACCAAACAAGAACGAGCTACTCTTCCATATCCAACAACATACAAGTACTTCAAATTAGAGTTGTACTCAGGGCACTTCCCTCTATTTTTAATATTATCAAGTATTTATTATATGAACAACTCATTATCATATTCCTATCTATAAATATAAAATTATAGTGAGAGATAGAGATTCACAACTTTTTCTTTGTACCATAACACTTAGTTGATTATAGTGGACATTCCTCTGTCTCTATTTTTTCATCTGCCTTCATATTCTTTTTCTCAATGTCTTAGCAAGGCTTTGACATTATCCAAAAACAAAACGAACTCCAACACCTATTCTCCAACTTTGAGATGAAGTGACTAAATAATGCTACTCACCCTATTAGTTATTGCATATCCTTGGCCATTTTTGGGGAAGGAGTATACAAGATTGCCTCCATTTTATCCAAGTTCATTTACATGCTTTCTAGGATGAGAAGGAGCCCCAAAATCTTCTTTGATCTAGCTGCAAACATAGTATTTATGAGATTAAGATGCCAGTAATATTTCTTCAATGCAGTGAATATTTCCTTGAAGTTCAAAATATCTACTCAAAAGGCTTCTTTTTCACCAGGAACTCATCCCCATACACTTTCACATTCATCCCCTTTTGGACTTGGAACACATGATCCATTATATGTTGCTACATAACACTAGCATTCTTCACGCATCAATTTTAAGGAGTGGGTAGCCATCCTTTAGAAAAGCCAAGTTCATGTTGTGATTTCTACCCACAAACTCTATTGTTTTTATGCACATCCTCCAGTTGTCACTCAGCTAATTGAGATCTTATCAAGATATTGTATTTCTTTTATCAATTTGGACTCAATGTGCGTATGGATCTCCAACCTAATGGGTCTAGCTAGGCTTTTAGTTGTCTTCATTATATTCTATTTGATGGATCAAGCCTTCTTCCTTACATTTAGACTATAGTGAGCAACATCAACATTCATTCAAGGCATTTCAACAACCATCCAACAAATACTTCAATGTCATCTCAAATAAATTAAACGAATCAGTTGTTGTGTTCAGAGCTAAAAGAGATAATAACTCAGAAAGTGCACCCCCAAACTCCCTTGTTGGGTTGAATTCTCCTATGGTTTCAAAGGTTAGTAATCCCCCAATCCCGTCGCTTCTAGCTAAAACACTTCTTCTTGTAAATTATCAATGGCTTTAAGATACCAAACCCTTAATGCATCAAGTTTACACCCACTATTATTTATAGTAATACATTGAAAACTTAACTGCAACATAGTGAATAGAGATCAACAAGTTGAAATGCTCAGATGCAGCCACCCAAAAATGACATTTAAGTAAGGTCTGGTGATGGTGCATCTACTAAGATGAAGTCTGTCATAGCAGTGGATTGAAATTCTCCACATGTACTGGGCAGAGTAATCATACTTCATTTTTCCTTTTTCCTTTTTCCTGCAAAAAATTTGAAGTGTGGGCCTACAGTCGAAGTCAAATTAGCAGCTGCCAAATTCAATTACTTTAACACTGCCTTGAAAGTGAACCAAATTTCTAATATCAATCAACATGCTTTATATCTGACGAATATTCATTTGTTGGTCCATCTACTTCAACAAAAGTAATGAGCGTGACTTTAATAAAATGTGCACTATAGTTAGTCATTGAGTTTCCTTCACCCAATCAAAGTTATTCGTGGTTGACATATTGAGATGCTTCTACTCTTGCGCCTCCAGGAAATGTCGGTACCAGCCTGGGAATTTAAATTGCCTAGGCTAAAATAGACTCATTCCTTCATCCATGTATAGGCGTCTTGCCTGTTCTTTTTTTGGAGTCCACCATAACAAATGTTCTTAACTTTGCCACCATCAATTCTTTCACCAAATTTCTCAAATGTTGGTAATACTTTGTATAATGCCCATTCTTTGCAATGCAATATACTTGGTGGTGTCTCATTGGTTTGCTCTTGTTATTATGGGTGCTGCCAAGCACTTGAAAAAATTGTTATTTTGTTTGGCTACCACAACTCAACCATTAACATACACAAGTGGGTAATCATTGATTAAAAATAAATAATTGTTTTATCGACATTGTATTATCGAGCGGAGGTTGTACTCCATTTTGAATGGTAGATGGGTCATTGATCCTTACTGGCCTTCCTAGTTGATGATCCCACAACTAGATGTAAGGGTGGCTCTGAAAGTGTGTTGGTTGCATTCATTAGCTTCTGGAGTGCCCTTTATCATCATCTGGAAGTTGTTGGATGCCCTGCTCTACTTGAGGGACGCTTAAGCAACACGAGCTAGAGGATTTGACTACACTATTACACTCTTCAACAGTGATATCACTATCAACAACTCCTAGTAACTCAACCAATATCTTCAGCAACTGGAAGCTAGGAGCATACCAAAGTAATTTTTTTCTTTTACAAAGCCTTAAAGAGCAGTATACGCTACTGCAAGTTCTGGATCCTTGACTTCTGGCATCACTCGTTGAAAACTCGCAATGAAATTCCTTAGGAACTCATTTCTTTGATTTCTCATCTTCAAAATAGCATGTTCGTTCTTCAAGGCACATTGAGTAAAGTCGTACTAGATAATCAACATCCTCTCAAGAAAAAAAGTGATGACTCATAGTGAGATTGAGAACCACCAAAAGAGTGGCTCTTTAAAGTTGGCTAAAAATATGTGGCATTTCAAAGTGTCAGTAAGCCACATTATCAGCCAGGTCGGTTCTTCCTTTGTATAACTTTAGGTATTATATTTTGAACTTTATCAAAAGCTTGGCTTCAACAATCTTCCTACATAATGCATTATCAACCATGTCAATTCTACAACATGATCAATTCATCTTCCAACAGATCCAAGGTAGTAAGTCTTGCCCACGGTATAAATAGACGTTAATGCTTTAGCGTTTGAGGACTAACTTCATAAAATTGAATCCAAAGACCCATTTTGTGTCTTTACCCCCGGGACAACTCTAAGAGCCCACTCCAAAAATTCCTAAATCATTTTAATGATTTACTCTTCTATATTTGTAATTTGTTTAATGAACATGGATTTTTAGACATTTAAATTCAAGAATTTTGCTCCGTCTTATTGCTCTATTTGTTGATCAATTCATGCTCACTATACCAGGAAGAATGTTGAATCCAAGTATATCTATAATAATACCCAAACCATATTTTTAAGAACAACAATAGATAAGCCAAACTCTAAGCAAGAAAAAATGAGGGAAAAGAAAAAAAAAAGATAAACTCAAATGATTTTAGTTTCACGTCGAAAACTTATAATATTGTCTATCTTCTCATAAAAATAACCTATTAACCCTAAATTAATTGAGTTTTGAAGCTTTATAGTAAAAGACATATTTTAATCTGGTAAAAACAAATAAAGAAATATATGATATAATTATAATAGATATGTGAACATATTGATCAGAATCCAGTAAATGCATATGCATTGCTCTCTTAGCAAGTACTTCAACGGTTTTGCCAACTAAATAGATGGAGTTGCCAGGTTTGAATTTACAGGTTTATTCTGAGTCCCAAACAAGTTTCTTTGAAGTTAAACGGGTATCCTTTGACCTTGGGAGAGTCCTCTGTACACTAAACTAGTGTCCACCAAGCTTGGGCAAGTGATGTTAAAGTTAAGGCAACTGACTTTGAGAGACATGTATCATGATTTCTAGCAATTTTGCCTGGTCATCTAAGTTTTACTCTGAATTACATATTGGGTATAAAACATATGCCTTGCATTCAAAGATGTCCAAATAATGATTTTCTAAAAAAACATTGAATTCCTTCACCAACAAAATTGTTCAGGAAAACATGACAAGTATAATGAATCTGCACAATAAAAGGGCAGCCTCCAATAAGCACTTTCGTGAATTCAGCTTGCTATATAAGAACTAAAAACAACATGCACATATGAAACATAAACCTTGCCCATTCCACTAAAATTTCATTATATGAAAGACGAGCAGAGCTTCAAACACGCCCAGGCATGCCCCGGCAATCACATCAAGCACAAAATGCCTGCCAAGCAACACACGGGAAGCAGAGGTGGTAGCCGACCAAACCCAAACGCAAACAAACATAAGAAAAAGGTCCCCCGGCTCACCTCCAAAGTAGCCATGGACCCATCGGTGGGAGTCAAGGGCAACTCGAAAGGGGTCGGCACAGTTACTGAGGAAGGAAGCGATGAAGAAAACCCTGGATGAGTGGCCACTCGGGAAAGACCAGTGGTCAACGGCGAAAGTGAGACGCATGCCTTTGTTGTAGACGGGACGAGGACGGCGAACAAGGTGCTTAATGAGTCCGACCAGGAGAACGTCGAGCAAAGAGCCGAGGATGAGGCCGAGAAGAATCGAAGAACGTGAAGAGAAGCAGTAGAGGGAGATCGGGATCGGGAACCAGAAACGGCCATCGCCGGAGATTTCTAGTACTTTGAGGAGCCATCGGGGTGTGGGAAGGCAGGCTTCGTGGATCCAGAGGGAGAGAGCTATGTCGAGATCGACTAGGGGGCGAAGAAGAAAGTTAGCTGATGTTGTTTTTGCCGACGTCGCAGCCGCGTCGAAGGAGGTCGCCGGCGATTCGGTGGGCATTGTTCGGCCTTGGCTAGCGCTGTGAGGACCGTTAAATGTCATTTGGAGATTGCAGGGATTGGTGCTGTAAGTGGCGTGAGCTCTGGAATTGAGTTCTATGAGTTAATTCAAATCCAAGCTAGCTCGACTGCTTTTCCTTAGATTTTAAAAAATATTAATATAAATTATGCACAAAACATATTAAATTTGAACCATTTATTTTAAATTATTAAAATAATATTTTTATATTTTATATTAATTGATTTCTTATTATTTATCTTCTAATTGCTCATTCTATTTTTCATTTTATCATAACACTGCCTTAAATTAATAATATTTTTTTCTCTTTTGTAATAATCAACCCAACTAGTGAGTCAACTCGAACTTGTAGACTCATGCTTGAGCTCCTGGTCGAACTCGATAAAATTAATCAAGCTCGAGCTAATGGTAGCTCAGACTCGAGTCGACTCGTTTACACCCCTAACTGGGATTGAATATTTTATAATTTAAAAGTTACAAATTACATAAGTGCTAAATTTTATATATTTATAAACCTCTATTTGAAAATTTAATACATACCACACAATTATTATGTATGTATATATCTAATATCTAAATTTTGATACTTATAATTATAACACTTAAGTGACAAGAACCAACACATGAAAAGGTGTATTTCACTAATGAAAATTTGATAAAATTAATATTTAAGATATGATATTAAAATTTTAAGTGTTATGTATGTAAATATGAAAGCTTAAGTATTAGATACATAAAAACATAAGAACGCGTGACATGTAGGCAAATGCCCCATTATCAGTTTTTGAACGTCATACATGTGTATTTATGTATGCGTATTCATTATTTATTATTAAGAATTTAACAAAACAATAGAATTTTATTATGAATATTAATATTTTGGTTTTATAAAAAAAATGAATGTAGTGACACAGTGTTGATGAGCAGTGTTGCGAGGTTGCATAAAAAAATAGGCTTAGGCACTTTGACGCTCAAAAGGGTGCTACGACTGCATTACAATCAACTCTAAATAGTGTTGCAGTACTACAAATGTACATCAGAATTATGTCTGCATAAATCTCTGGGGGTGGGGACGGGACAATGGATTACACAAAGAGGATTAGTGTTTGGACATTCATCATTATACCAGTCAGCCTATGAAGTCGACCGAGTAAAATATTGACCGACCCAGCGAACATCACGACCACGCAACACTCTCAATCAGTATTTGTCAATACAAAGATCAATAATTGCTTAGAGGAAAGTCCTTCAATGTAGACACATTGATCGAAGGCGGGTTGTATGTCTGATTACAATAATACACCATTTGTCTGATGGAATAATCCTACCCAATGCAATGTGTCTTCACAATTGGTCCCCTTGGAAAAGGCGGATGAAGACCATTCGATCGACAGAAGATCACCCGGTCGATTGAATGACTCTGGGTTGATTGAATGTATGAAATGACCAAGCCAGGCAATTATGAATGCGAAGCGTTTTTAACAGCTGTTACAGATGTAGAACGATGCTAACCACTGTTGCAGGGTCAAAACATGTATTATCAGGTATAAATATGTAAATGTGTAATGGTTTATAAATTAAGATAATATTCCAATTAAATGGGAGACAATCATGTACTTTGTTACACCCTACCTATGAATTATAAATAGGTCATTCACACTAAGATGGGGATCCCAAAAATTCCTAAAAAAACTAAGTGTTATCCGTGTCTTATCTCTCTTTCCTTCATTCAAGTGACACTTCATTCCTTGGGCATGATCCACAAGGCAATTTAGGATCCAACATTCTAAATGGTACGGTGAGCATGGAGTCATGCCTTCAACAAGATGAGGAGCATGTCAGGGTGACGGAACACATCAAGGAGAAGCCTCCAATGTGGAGTTTGTTCTAGAATTCGTGCAACAACAAATCCAAGGACTACATGAACGTATGACAGATCAAATTGTGGAGCTGTCTAGAGTGGTGCTTGAAGAAAGGGCATAGCCACTCCCACAACCTAATCCACCAGAACCTGAGCCCCAAGCTCAAAAAGGCCCAAGCTTTCGAGCGAGTGGAAGAGTCCCATTAAGAGGACAGTGCCAAGTTCGTGCCAAAGGGAGGATCACAATCAGAAGCAATAGAAGTCTGTCGCTGGATGGAGAATGTGCTTGTCCTGCATATTGTGGAAGCCAAGGCATCAAAGAAGTATAATGTTTCATTTTTGGAACCATACAAGGGTTAGAGCAACCCTGCTGACCATATTGTGTCCTTTGAGTCAGCAATCTTCCTTTCAAGATCTCTGATGCATTAAAATATCGGTTGTTCTATAACACTTTAAGAGATTCCACTCTCAAGTTTCAACGGATTCCCCTTAAAAATTATTAATTCCTTTAGATACTTCAGGAAGTTATTTTTGGCGTAGTTTGCTAATGCCCAAAAGTCACGAAAGGACTCAGATTCTATGAACAAGGACCAAACGAGAGCCTTCAATTATTTGTTACAAGGTTCCAGAAGGACTGCTTGAGGTGCGAAACCTTGAGCCGGCCGTTGCTAAAGTAGCCCTAGCACAAGGACTGAAGATTCCATAGTTTAGATAATTTTTGGCTTTACGAAAGCCAGAAATGTTAGCTGAACTCCTAGAGTTAGATAACAATCACATTATGGTCGGGGAGTATATGAACCAGACAGATTTTAAAAGGCAATAAATTGGATCGACAGTTAAGCAGGAACAATTCAAATGATGATGGAAGGAGGGAGAAAGACGACCCTTGTCCAAAGCGTGATAGGGGCCGCTCATCCCGAATGGACAATGAAGGCAGAAGAGATGGTCGAACATGCAGCTAATTGAATGACCGATCTATAGGAGACCAAAAGACATCTAGACCTACACTAGTGAGAGTTTTGATGGCAAAACTTGTGCATGCAATAGAAGATAAGGAATATTATTGAAAGGTGACACCAATGAAAATAGGAGCTTCTCTCTAAAATCCCAACAAATACTGCAAGTATCATTGATAATGCAGGCACGATACTAAGGAATGTAGGCACCTCTGTAGCCTGGTGAAGGAACTAATCTAAGCTGGGAAGCTCAAGGAGTTTGTAGCCCTGGAGACCAACACTTTGAGAAAGGGCAAGATTCCTGAAGATAACAAATCAGGCCACATAACGGAGATAGTGCTAGTGATACTAGGTGGAGATTCATATCACAAGCTCGGCAAAAAAGGTGCAATTGGAGAACTACTGTGATGTGATGTCTGTTTTGAAAAGGAAGCCCCATCCCCCAATAATTTTCATTGATATAGATCTTCACTTAGTAGAGAATCCTTACAATGATGTCATTGTTGTTACTACAGTAATTAGTAACTACCAAATAGAGAGTATGCTAGTTGATATCGGTAGCTCGGGAAACATTTTGTTCTGAACTGCATTTGATAAGTTGAATTTAACTACCAAACGGTTAACTACACCAGTCGGTCCATTATGTGAATTTTCTGGCGAACAGAAGAAGGCACTCGGTGTAGCACTCTCTATCATATGAGGAGAAGGTACCAACCAATTTACCAATAGAGAGGATTATTTAGTGGTTGACGCGCCACCAACTTATAATGTAATATTTGGTTGCCCTCTCCTCAATAATTTCAGAGCCATGGTGTCAACATACCACATAGCAGTGAAGTTTCCCTATGACATAATGATAGTTATTATACTTGGAGATCTAAAGCAGTCTCAAACATGTTGTGTGTGAGTCATAGGAAGCGTGGAGCACAATACGTTGGGCATACAACACCAATGAAAAGGAGGCCTTGAAACTGATGAGGCTACTATCAAAATCATCGCATGCCTAAAAGATCCTGGTAAAATTTACTAATAAGTGAAACTTTTGATGCAGGTCAAAAAGAGATATTGATCTAGATTCTCCAAAAGCACCGTGATGTTTTTGTCTGGTCCACGGCTAAAATTTTAGGTATCCTCATTGACGTGGCTTGTCACGGGCTCAACCCTAGTTTAATTGCCCAACCCGTGAAACAGAAACTTCGGACGATGCAACAATTTAGACAAAATAATTAATGAGGAATTAAGGAAACTCTTGGAGGTTGGCTACATTCGGGAGGTTCACTCACTACCCCTTATGGGTATCTAACGTGGTCATGGTATAAAAGTCCAGCAGCAGTAGAGAATGTGTGTGGACTCCACATTTTGAATGCAACTTGCTCAAAGGACGACTATCCACTACCCAGGATCAATGCTCTAGTGGACTTTGTGGTAATATACTCGGTCATGAGCCTCCTTGATGATTTCTCTAGTTATCACCAGATAATAATGCACCCAACTAGTGTGGAGAAGATGAATTTTATTATTATTGATGGTTCATATTGCTTTATTGTAATATTTGAGCTAAAAAATGCTGGCACAACTTATCAGTGCCTAATAAATGTAATTTTTTTTCTAAATAAAAAAGAAGAAACATTGAAGTCTATGTGGATGATATGCTAGTAAAAAGTAGGATGGTTAAATAACATTTGTGTAAATTAAAAGAAATTTTCTAAACACTCAGGAAGTTTAATATGAAATTGACCCCGTTGAAATGCACATTTAGAGCTTCCGTAAAGAAATTCTTGGGGTACCTTTTGAAGCCCGAAGGGATTAAGGTTAATCTAGAGAAAGTAAAGGCACTCCTTGGCTTGTCTTCTCTACATAAATCCAAAGAAGTACAAAAGCTGATTGACTGAATTGCAGCCCTAAGCCGATTTATTTCCAAGTCATGAGACAAGTGTGTCACCTTTTTCAAGGTGCTAAGGAAGGCAAAAAAGTTTGAGTGGATGAATGAATGTAAGCAAGCTTTCCAGAATCTGAAATAGTCGTTACTCTCTCCACCATTATTGTAGAGTTCGACGCCAAGGGAATAATTTTCATTTTACCTCAAAGTCAACCCAAAAGCTAGTAATTCGTTCTAGTTTGAGTGGAGTCAGGGAAACAATTTCCCGTCTATTACACTAGTCAGGTCCTTAGAAGAGCTGAGACAAGGTATTCCCTTATGAAAAAACTAACATTTTCTCTGATTGTTTATGCTCGCAAACTTCAGCCATATTTCCAAAC